TTTAATCGCCGTAACTTCAAAATAACATCACTTGAGATTTTACTGAATTTAGAAAGAGTGAATAACTAGACGTACCTTCCTGGTACGCTTCGGCAGCAAATCAGGCTCGTTTGTTATCGCCAGGGGTATATTGGCTCGACTGCGTGCCAAAATGGTACGATTAGGTGAGAACTGGGTGAAATATCTATTAGATCATGCAAGAAAGAACACGTGGATGATTGTCGCGAGCGCTGGCGCTGGCAAGAAGAGCGAGAGTTTTTCAACAGGCTGTATTTTAGTGCAAAGCAAAAAGGCAAAAAAGGTTATGAACTTCAGTGCCTTCAGAGGATGAAGTCCAACATCATATCACAATCTGCCGCTTCAATTAAACAATGGTCGAAAGTAAAAGTGAGGATTCTGTTACAACTGCAAAGAGAGCTGAGGTGAGTCTGTATGTGTTATCATTTCATCGGGCGATACGATCCTTTAAAAGTTTCAGTAGTCTTACTTTAAAAATCTTGCTCGTGCTAAACAGGGCATGTGTTTTGCTGTGGGTTTTTGGTAGATGTTTGAAAGCTCTTCGTGGGTAAACAAACCATGCCTTCCTCGAGAGGTCGATTATCGTCGTGGACAAACTCGTAAGAAATACACCATTTGCTTGTTAGCTGTTAGTTCAATATGGCCATCGTGAAAAAAACGAAAAGTGATTGTGAGTAAGGAGCGTTTCCTTGTAACTGACTATTTAATACGCAATCAGGTTTGGGGAATTTGATTTTAAAAGTGTTGCATTAATATGGCCAACTTTAATTACAGGAAAAGGAAAGTGGAAAGGGAGCATGCCTGTATGTGTCCTCAGCAAAAAGTTCAGATTCAACAACAATCATCATCAAGAAGCTGGAGACCATTAGGATTTACTGTTAACATTAGGAATCAAGCATTGCATCAGCTTCACAGTTATGTGCCTCCATGAGGATGGCTCTTATTGTGTTGGAAGACTGTGAAGAAAACAATTTCATTGAGACTATCAAGTAAGTATCCCCTTTGTTTGTAAGTCTTTCCACTCTTAAAGACTTCATTGTGAGTGGTCAAATAAAGTTCAATTAAATGCATGATAATAAACACAAAAAAATTAGACACTTCTGATAGGCTGAAAACAAGTGCATTTTTCACACAGCACAAGTGCAAAGTTGTAACACAAGTGCATGTTATAAATAGTATGCTGTTAAAATTGTGAATAAGTGCTACACATGTACAAATTGCACTTGCTTTATGCACTCTTGCAATTATGTTGTCTTTGAAAAATTTACTTGTGCTTATTATCACCAAATTGTTTTGAAAAGTTATTACCTGAACAGGATTCCTTTAAAATGTTGTATGGATTACATGCAACTGCATGAGTTAGCATTATGAAGATTTCACATTGTGGATTGTGGACAATAAGTGACAATATAAACTTAAGGGTAATTTTCACTGGCTTTTTGAAGCTTTTAACTATGAATTTTCTCTGACCATTTTGCTTTCAATAACTTTTCCATAGTTTCTTGGTTATAAGGCGAACTTGGTTCTAAGATGCACCTCAAACTTAATAACTTAGTCAAGCCAAGTTCCCAGACTGAAAATTACGTGAAAATACTTGGTTATAAGATGCACCAAAAGGATGAGAGTTAACAAAAGGATTTAATGGAACTGAGAACAATTATTCCTACACAACTGGCATGCAAACTCTTTTGTTAAAATGTAAATAAAAGTGAAAAAGTCACACATTTAATGATCTACATAAAAACCAAGGCTAAAATTTCACACCTGATTATGAATATTCAATGATCCTGATTTCATTCTATTAACCCTTTAACTCCCAGATCCAATTTGTAATTCTCCTTACCATCAACCATACAATTCTTACAATGTTCATTCAGAGAATTTTGTTTTGGATCAAGTAATCATCCCCAAATTGATCTTTTCCTTTAATCTCATCACTTATCTAGTTGCTATTGTATAAATATTTTAAGGAGAAATTCTGTCTTGGTCAGCCATGGGAGTTAAAGGGTTAAACATCAACCAACTGATTTAAAACTCAGTTGCAAAACTAACTGCGATCTCATCCTGAAGCAGAGTTTACTTCAACTTCTTGTTCGATTGCAATTCTCTTCAAGTTGAAAATTGTAGCTGAGGCAGTCAACAACAATCATGAAATTGCCCATGAATATGGCATTTCAGAATCCATGGTGAAAAAATTATGCAACCAGCAACCTGGCATGTTTTCTGGTGAGCTGCGGATGACAGCAAAGTGTCATTTGCAACACTACAAACCAAAAGACCTGAGTTGATTTCATTTCAAATTTCCACTTGTTTGCTTTTCTATAGAAGTTGATTTAAGTGTTCTAAAAGCAGTATTCATTTTTAATTCATAGGAATAAAAGTTTGAATTTGATGTAATCTTCGCTACACCTCAGACCAAAAAGCTCTGCTTTTTCTCCTTTTTCTCTCAACAGTTAGTGTCCTTTTCTTGTCTTTTTAACTACAGTATAAGTTCTGCTAAAATTGTGATTTCAAGATTTTGTTCAACAAAAATACTTGGCTATAGGATGCACCTCAATTTCAGCATTAACTTTCCAACCGAGGAAAGAATTTTCTTGTAAAAACCATGTGCCTTAGAGCCAAGAAACTACGGTAAATTCTCTTTGAACATTTTGCTCCATTTCTTTCTACCAAAATTTGTCACTATGTATTTTGTGGTGTTTGTTTCCCAAAATCTGTGGAAGATTCTTTCTCTCCTGGACAGTCATGGCCTCAGTGGCTGTTTCAATGAATATACTTGGTCATCATAACCTATTTTGTTTCAACAGATCACCGAAGGATGATGATACAACAAGCACACACCCATTGTATTTATTTCTTCTGGACCCCTGTCAGGTAAAGCTGTTCCTTTCTCCCTGGTTACTTATATCACCATGGTAACTGGCCAAAGTAGCCCTCTCTTATTCCTTATTAAGGGTTAAAACCAGTTATAACACGTGTTGGAAACATTGTGCCCTTACCAAAAACAATATGCACGGAAAATGTTTACCAGATAAGGGTAAATATTACCTGAATGGACCAATCAGAGCACTTTGTTTTGCACCGGGTAAAGTTTACATGACTGGAGTAAACTTTACCTCTAGCAATTCGCAAAACAGAGCACTTGTGGGCTGTAATGGCGCAGGATAATTACATTCTTTCAATTGTAGCTTCCTAGAATCAAATTTTGCAATTTAAAGGTGAAATAAGGTGCAAAACCGATCAGCTTTTGAATAGAATGGCACGCTCTTGGATTTGTTAAGATTCAAAGAGTGACACGGCTTTGTCCGCAAAGTCATGTTTGTTTTAGCGTTGTATCAAACATTGTTGACATGAAGGTGTTTTATTGAAAGGTTCTAGGTGATAAGTTTGCACACTAGCAAACCAGGCATGTAATCTAATTCCACAGCAATCCTAGCATATGTTAGCGACCTCGTTGGCGGCATAACTTGCAAGTTTGTGATCGTTCATTGAGCTGCCATGACAATGTGCACCATTACTTCCCTTTCCAAAATTCATTTTTCTTTACAAAGAGACAGAGCTGACCTCCTTGATCAGTAGTAAAAGAAGGGGCTCTGCAGAAATGTAGGTATTGTTAAAACTAATTTTGAGAAAAAGAGAGTGGTTGAAAATCTATTGTTTATTGTACCTGTAATGACGAACCTATGTCATTGAAGCTTTACAGGCCAGTGATTTTCCATCTCTCCTCATTTTTTCCTAACATCTTGCATGGGTTAATACAGTAATAAATTTAATGGTAGAAAAGTGTGGTGTATTGCATGCCTACCAAAAATAACAACCATACAGAGTCAAGGGCATGTACATGTACATGTAGGCACAACTTATATAATTTTGCCCCTTCTAAATATTGGTTCAAAGATTAATTTGCAGTGTGTTTTTGAATATGTTTCTTATGATACAGCTTGCAAATATATACTGTTGCAGAAGGCAATAACAAAAAGTACAGTTTTAGTATGTAATAGCTTTTTTATATAGGGTAACTCAGCTGCAGTAATGAATAAAGGGGGTAAGTTTCTAAAGAAACTGTGGTGCTGTGTCGGTGGGAGAGTATAGTAGGTAATTTAGTGTTAACAACTGAGTTGAAAACGTAAATTAGCCAGCGTAAAGGGTAAAAAAGCTGACGTTTCCAGCGTTAGCCCTTCATCGGAGCAATTCCAATCACTCTGATGTACTAATGTAGTAATTAACAACTCAAAGATTGACTGGTTTGAACTGTTCTCAACAATGATTTGATCTTTTTATTAAATCTTTTTTGCTCTTGATTGTAGTGTGCAATTTTTTTTAGTATTGATTGACAGTTGTTGCAGTGCTGTTATGACTATAAATTTACAAGTTTTTCCTGGATTCTGTCAGATACTTGATGCAAGAGCAGTACATTGATGAGCTTGTGTTCAAATGCTTGACGCTGGAGTGTGATCTGGGAAGTGCAGTAAATTGCCTGATAATGCAACCAGGACAATAAACAGGTACATGTATCTATCATGTAGAGTTTGATTAAGTCATGCTTGCTTTAAAATGCCTTACATTATTTTTAGAGTATATTCAGAGTGACAGTGAATTTTGAGTGGTGTGTTATGCCTTAATCCCTCAAAAAGACAAAACAAAACAAAAGAGAGGGAAAAAAACCAGGACAGTTGTCAATTTAACAGTGGATTTCTTTTTTAAATTACCCAGCCAATTGGTATGTGCTTTGGGTCAAAAATTCATTCATGTTTTACTATTACTACTGGTACTAAGCAATGGAATTAACTGCAAGCAAATCAAACCACCAAACCAAATTCTTTTTAATAATTGGTAGCTCATTTTGTGAAACATCTTGGTTCTGGTTCTCAGTTTCTTCCTGGACATACAACTTTTTTGAAGCAAACACAAAACAAAATTAAAATAATTTTAATTTTATGGCTCTCAACAACATTTTCAATATGCACACAGCTTCATTACTCAGTTATATTAATTATTATTAATTAGCTGTGTGCATATTGAAAATGTTGTTGGGAGCCATACACAATTTGGTCCCTTTAATAAAATTGTAAGGTCACTTGAAGATTTCTTAAAATGTTCTCTCAGTTATAATTAGGTAGATTTTACTTCAATTCAGCTCATTTCCTTTTCATTTTATTGTGACACGCAGTATAGCCCTTTTCAGTCTGGTGAATACTTGCACACCTTGCAAAACAAAAATATAATTGCCAAATAATAATGTGATTCATGTAGCTTTACAAGGGAGACATTGTCTTAAAAATTTCTTCAACATGTTGTTGCAGTTACTCCTAAATCAAAGAGGCCTGGCATTGTTAGAAAAAGGAAATTTGATGCAGATTTTCTATCATCAAGGAACAATGATTGTGAAGGTATGATATTTGATTAACCCTTTTACTCCCATTAGTGACCAAGACAGAATTTCTCCCTACAATATCAATACAATATCAAGTGGACAAGTGATGAAAATGAAGAAAAATATCAGTTAGGTGATTATAAGTTGACTCAATACCAAATTCTCCAAACTAACATCACAAGAACTGTATGGCAGACAGTGAGGAGAAATTGCTAATTAGATCTTGGGAGTTAAAGGGTTAAGTGCTATCTGATGGAACAAGCTGCAAAAGGAGCCAATACATTTATAACTTGCAAGCCTTTGAAAACTGCATACCATGACTTTGTGTTCTCTCAAAATTATAGTTTTCCCTGCTTATAACCTAGTTGCCTAGTTGTAGGTCAGAGTAAGTGGGCTAGTTGTAGCAACTTGTCTGCTTTATGTGTTTAGCACTTGTTTTGTAAGGATTTGATAATATTTGATACTTTATATTTGAAAAGTTTTGGATTTTTGATGTCAACACCTAGAGCTTCAATGTGAACCAAAAGTTGGCTGCTGACATAATGTACAGTACTTACTTACAGTATATGGGATGGAGCAACTCATCCTGCAACCTAAATGAAGCACTCCTCCATCCCTGTTGGGACTGTTTTGGTTGCGCAGGTAATATTATGTAGTGTTAGTAGTACAATCATGCACTTGAGGAGAACTTTTGAGATTACTCGAGCTTGTGGTTTTACATGTATGTGATGGTCTTATGCAGTACAGAATCCCTCTAATTCCAAGTTTTAACCAGGTGCTGCAACAGCAAGCCCTAAAGATTGGCAAATTCCAGCCTCAAATTGGGGTCTACACGCACCTTCAATTTTGTCATATTTACATGGCTATGACAGCTAACAATGTGCATATAATCACATTAATCCACTCTTGATCCCTTTATCACCTATGCATCAGCAAGACTAATCATGAGGAGAAGAGTGGTGTGCCTATCCCAGCAAAGCAAATGTCATGGGGTGATGTGAACCACACACAGCTGCTGCCACTCCATCCATATCACTATTATCATCATGTATCAAATGGAAAAAGTAATGTTCATGTAAAGAAAGACAGAGGTGGCACAGAGAGCACCATTATGTCTAGTGGGTATATGCAGAGTGATAAGTGGCAACCTTCAGTGGTTACAAAAGAAGAGGGCAAAAGTTTTCCTAAGATGCAAGACTGTACAACTACCAGGCCTGGAGCTGACTTTTTATCCTGAGGAAACGCCACAAGACCCCCATTCTAACTCAGATAATTTTCATTCACTGGTATATGCAAAACAAAAAGATGCAAATAAAACTCAAGTTTGCAAAATTGGCTCTTTACTAAATTTAACATCATAATAAAACAAATTATGCCTTCCTCGAGAGGTCAATTATTGACCTCGAGAGGTCAAACTTGTCAGAAATACACAATTTGTTCATTAGCTGTTCAATGTGGCAAAGACAAAAAAAAAGCTGATTACAATGACAAAAACAATTAAGCTGGAACAAAGACAAAAGCTGATAAAAGTGACAATAGTAAGTATTATTATAATAGTAAGTTAATAAATAGGTAGTCAGGTTTGGTGAATTTTAAAAGTGTAACAGCTGTATTAATATGGCCAACTTACTGTAATTACAGGAAAAGGAAAGTGGAAAGGGAGCATGCCTGTATGTGTCCTCAGCAAAAAGTTCAGATTCAACAACAATCATCATCAAGAAGCTGGAGACTATCAGGATTTACTGTTAAGAAGGAATCAAGCATTGCATTAGCTTCACAGTTATGCGCCTCTGTGAGGATGGCTCTTATTGTGTTGGAAGACTGTGAAGAAAACAATTTCATTGAGACTATCAAGTAAGTATCCCTTTTGTTTGTAAGTCTTTCCATTCTTAAAGATTTCAATGTGAGTGGTCAAGTAAAGTTTGACAATTAAATGCATGATAATATACATGAAAAAATTATGCACTTCTTATTGGCTGAGAACAAGTGCATTTTTCATGCAGCACAAGTGCAAAGTTGTAACACAAGTGCAGATTATAAATAGTATGCTGTTAAAATTGTGAATAAGTGCTACACATGTACAAATTGCACTTGCCTTATGCACTCTTGCAATTATGTTGTCTTTGAAAAATTTACTTGTGCTTATTAACACCAAATTGTTTTGAAAAGTTATTACCTGAACAGGATTCCTTTAAAATGCTGTATGGATTACATGCAGCTGCATGAATTAGCATTGCAAAGATTTCATTTTGTGGATTGTGGACAATAAGTGACAATGAATATAAATTTCAGGGTAATTTTCACTGGCTTTTTGAAGCTTTTAGCTATAAGTTCTCTCTGAATATTTTGCTCCATCTCTCTCCACCACAATTTGTCACTATTTATTTCACTTGCTTCCCAAAAACTGCTAGAGATTCTTTCTTCCTTAGACAGTCATGGCCTCAATGGCTGTTTCAGTGAATATACTTGGTCATCATAGCCTTTTTTGTTTCAACAGATCATCAAAGGCATGCAATGAGCACACACCCATTGTATTTATTTCCTCTGGACCCCTGTCAGGTAAACCTGTTCCTTTCTCCCAGTAGTTACTTATATCACCATGGTAACTGGCCAAAGTAGCTTCCTCTTATTCTTTATGAAGGGTTAAGACCATTTATATAAGTTCTTTGAGACAGAGCCAACCTCCTTGACTAGTGGTATAAGAAGAGGCTCTGTAGAAGTGTAGGTAGTTGTTAAAACTAATTTTGAGAAAAAGAGGGTGGTCAAAAATCTATTGTTTATTGTACCTGTAATGATGAACCTATGTCATTGTGGCTTTACAGGTCTGTGATTTTCCATCTCCTCATTTTTTCCTGACATCTTGCATGAGTTAATAGTCAGTAGTGAATGATAGAAAAGTGTGATGTATTGCATGCCTAATGAAAAAACAACTATACAAAGTTAAGTGCATGTAGACACAACTTAATATATATTTTGCCCCTTCTAAGTATTGGTTCAAAGATTTACAGTGTGTTTTTGAATATGTTTCTTATGATATAGCTTGCAAATATATACTGTTGCAGAAGGCAATAACAAAAAGTAGTAGCTTTTTAAGAAAGGGTAAATCAGCTATAAGTTTCCTACATGTAGTAATTAACAACAGAAAGATTGACTGGTTTGAACTGTTCTCAACAATGATTTGATCTTTTTGTTAATTCTTTTTTACTCCTGATTGTAGTGTGCAATTTTTTTTAGTTTTGATTGACAGTTGTTACAGTGCTGTTATATGTGTGACTATAAATTTACAAGTTTTTCCTGGATTCTGTCAGATACTTGATGCAAGAGCAGTACATTGATGAGCTTGTGTTCAAATGCTTGACACTGGAGTGTGATCACCTGATAACGCAACCAGGACAATTTGCAGGTACATGTATCTATCATGTAGAGTTTGGTTGAGTCATGTTTGCTTTTTTCATTGTAAAATGCCTTACATTATTTTTCAGAGTATATTCAGAGTGACAGTGAATTTTGAGTGGTGTATTAAGCCTTAATCCCTCTTTGAAAAGAACACATTTCCAAAAAAGACAAAACAAAACAAAAGAGAGGGAAAAAAACAGTGGATTACTTTTTAAATTACCCAGCCAATTGGTATGTGCTTAATTCATTTTTTACCGTTACTAGGCAATGGATTTAACTGGAAGCAAATTAAACCACTAAACCAAGTTCTTTTTAATAATTGGTGGCTCATTTTGTAAAACATGTTGGTTCTGGTTTTCAGTTTCTCCCTGGACATACAACTTTTTTGTAGCAAACACAAAACAAAATTAAAATTAATATAATTGAGCAATGAAGCTGTGTGCATATTGAAAATGTTGTTGGGAGCCATACACAATTTGGTCCCTTTAGGAAAATTGTAAGGTCAATTGAGGATTTCTTAAAATGTTCCTTCAGTTACACTTATTTAGATTTGACTTCAATTCAGCGCATTTCCTACATGTATTCATTTTATTGTGACATGCAATATAGCTCTTTTCAGTCTGGTAAATACTTACACACCTTGTAAAACAAAAAATATAGTTGCCAAATAATAATGTGATTCATGTAGCTTTACAAGGGAGACATTGTCTTAAAAATTTCTTCATCATTTCCTTGGAGGACATGGAGAAGAAGGTCATGGAAGTTCTTACAAATGAAAGAAAAGCGTTTGGAATTAGGGACAAGCAGTCATGAAAGCTTTTATAAGCAGAATTTTCCAGAGTAAATGTCCACTGTTATTCACTTGCTCTAAAGAAGAGTCTTAACATTTACAGTAATCAATAATTATTAATTTAACTACTAACAGTGCATGTAACAATACCAAACAGAAAATCTCATGTTGGAACTAGTGGTAACAGAGAATTGTAATGAAATGTTTTGTAAACAAAATAGTGAGGAAATCAACATTGCAACAGTCTGGTATTTACAGTTTGAGTAATTTTTTAATTACTAATTACTTACCCAAGAGCTTTTTGGCAATAATGAAATTGATGTATTTCATTTCTTCCTCTGCATAGTTATTAACTTTTAGACCCTACAGCTTAATGAGTAAAGATGTAAATCTATTGATTTTCAAAAGGTTTTTTTATCCCAAATTAACTGATGTTTCGTTAGGTCACACAATAATTCACCATAAATTGCCAGTACACTTGTGATAAAACCTTTATTGAATTTTGATCAATATCAGTATCTGGGCAACTGCCCACCTGCATCTAACTCAACAACAGCTTTTGACAACAAATGTGCATAATTTCTGACGGTTGGTGACTAGGAACGAATTATGCAGAAATTACTATTCTGATGGCACGATTGAGAGGTTTTAGTATTCTCAGGGGAGAGTTTTGAGTATTTAATGTTTTAGCGGGGAATATTAATCATTCTAGCTCAGTCAGTCTTTCTGTTTGCTGTTGTCAGTTTAGTTAAATTTTTTCTATGGAGTTATGGGTTTGTTTGTACCTCTTCCCCGAGGAGGTTCCGTGTTCACTGCATTAGATGGATGTTACGTTTCCACAATTTTTTGGCCACATTAAAGAGAATGGTTTTTAAGTGGTTTTTTATCTGGCGTGGTACATAATTTTTCAAGCTTTTCTGGAAAACTTGCTAGCATATTCTATTTTGTAATAAGTATGTGTAATAAGTATATGTTGCGACACATTGTTGTTTCTTTCATTTGTAAGAACTTCCATGACCTTCTTCTCCATGTCTCCAAGGAGAATGGTGACTTTATCCAGTGATCAAAAATCTACAAGCAATAACATTAATAGCATTGATGTGAATCAAAATTATTCTCCTTACAGTCTGTCATACAGGTCTTGTGATGTTAGTTTAGAGAATTTGGTATTGAATCAACTTTTAATCCCCTAACTGATATTTTTCCTTATTTTTATCACTTGTCTGCTTGATGTTGTATTAATATTGTAAGGAGAAATTCTGTCTTGGTCACCAACAGGAGTAATAGAATTAATAAAATATCATACCTTCACAATCATTGTTCCTTGATGATAGAAAAGCTGTATCAAATTTCCTTTTTCTTACAATGCCAGACCTCTTTGATTGTAACTGCAACAATATTATGAACCCTCGTCATTTTAAGACAATGTCGCCGTTTGTAAACTACATGAATCACATTATTATTTGGCCACTATATTTTTTGTTTTACAAGGTGTGTAAGTATTTACCAGACTGAAAAGAGCTATTGCATGTCACAATAAAATGAATACATGTAGGAAATGCGCTGAATTGAAGTCAAATCTAAATAAGTGTAACTGAAGGAACATTTTAAGAAATCCTCCATTGACCTTACAATTTTCCTAAAGGGACCAAATTATGTATGGCTCCCAACAACATTTTCAATATGCACACAGCTTCATTGCTCAATTAAATTAATTTTCATTTTGTTTTGTGTTTGCTACAAAAAAGTTGTATGTCCAGGGAGAAACTGAAAACCAGAACCAACATGTTTTACAAAATGAGCCACCAATTATTAAAAAGAACTCTGTTTAGTGGTTTAATTTGCTTCCAGTTAAATCCATTGCCTAGTAACAGTAAAAAATGAATTAAGCACATACCAATTGGCTGGGTAATTTAAAAAGTAATCCACTGTTTTTTTCCCTCTCTTTTGTTTTGGAAATGTGTTCTTTTCAAAGAGGGATTAAGGCTTAATACACCACTCAAAATTCACTGTCACTCTGAATATACTCTGAAAAATAATGTAAGGCATTTTACAATGAAAAAGCAAACATGACTCAACCAAACTCTACATGATAGATACATGTACCTGCAAATTGTCATGGTTGCATTATCAGGTGATCACACTCCAGTGTCAAGCGTTTGAACACAAGCTCATCAATGTACTGCTCTTGCATCAAGTATCTGACAGAATCCAGGAAAAACTTGTAAATTTATAGTCACACATATAACAGCACTGTAACAACTATCAATCAATACTAAAAAAATTGCACACTACAATCAAGAATAAAAAAGAATTAACAAAAAGATCAAATCATTGTTGAGAACAGTTCAAACCAGTCAATCTTTCTGTTGTTAATTACTACATGTAGGAAACTTATAGCTGATTTACCCTTTCTTAAAAAGCTACTACTTTTTGTTATTGCCTTCTGCAACAGTATATATTTGCAAGCTATATCATAAGAAACATATTCAAAAACACACTGTAAATCTTTGAACCAATACTTAGAAGGGGCAAAATATATATTAAGTTGTGTCTACATGCACTTAACTTTGTATGGTTGTTATTTTCATTAGGCATGCAATACATCACACTTTTCTATCATTTACTACTGACTATTAACTCATGCAAGATGTCAGGAAAAATTAGGAGATGGAAAATCACAGGCCTGTAAAGCTACAATGACATAGGTTCATCATTACAGGTACAATAAACAATAGATTTTTGACCACCCTCTTTTTCTCAAAATTAGTTTTAACAACTACCTACACTTCTACAGAGCCTCTTCTTATACCACTAGTCAAGGAGGTTGGCTCTGTCTCAAAGAACTTATATAAATGGTCTTAACCCTTCATAAAGAATAAGAGGAAGCTACTTTGGCCAGTTACCATGGTGATATAAGTAACTACTGGGAGAAAGGAACAGGTTTACCTGACAGGGGTCCAGAGGAAATAAATACAATGGGTGTGTGCTCATTGCATGCCTTTGATGATCTGTTGAAACAAAAAAGGCTATGATGACCAAGTATATTCACTGAAACAGCCATTGAGGCCATGACTGTCTAAGGAAGAAAGAATCTTCAGCAGTTTTTGGGAAGCAAGCGAAATACATAGTGACAAATTGTGGTGGAGAGAGATGGAGCAAAATATTCAGAGAGAACTTATAGCTAAAAGCTTCAAAAAGCCAGTGAAAATTACCCTGAAATTTATATTCATTGTCACTTATTGTCCACAATCCACAAAATGAAATCTTTGCAATGCTAATTCATGCAGCTGCATGTAATCCATACAGCATTTTAAAGGAATCCTGTTCGGGTAATAACTTTTCAATACAATTTGGTGATAATAAGCACAAGTAAATTTTTCAAAGACAACATAATTGCAAGAGTGCCTAAGGCAAGTGCAATTTGTACACGTGTAGCACTTATTCACAATTTTAACAGCATACTATTTATAATCTGCACTTGTGTTACAACTTGCACTTGTGCTGCATGAAAAATGCACTTGTTCTCAGCCAATAAGAAGTGCATAATTTTTTCATGTATATTATCATGCATTTAATTGTCAAACTTTACTAATGACCACTCACATTGAAATCTTTAAGAATGGAAAGACTTACAAACAAAAGGGATACTTACTTGATAGTCTCAATGAAATTGTTTTCTTCACAGTCTTTCAACACAATAAGAGCCATCCTCACAGAGGCGCATAACTGTGAAGCTAATGCAATGCTTGATTCCTTCTTAACAGTAAATCCTGATAGTCTCCAGCTTCTTGATGATGATTGTGTTGAATCTGAACTTTTTGCTGAGGACACATACAGGCATGCTCCCTTTCCACTTTCCTTTTCCTGTAATTACAGTAAGTTGGCCATATTAATACAGCTGTTACACTTTTAAAATTCACCAAACCTGACTACCTATTTATTAACTTACTATTATAATAATACTTACTATTGTCACTTACTATTTAAAAATAGTAAGCAACAAGGAAAAGCTGACCTCTTGCATCAAGTATCTGACAGAATCCAGGAAAAACTTGTAAATTTATAGTCATAACAGCACTGCAACAACTGTCAATCAATACTAAAAAAATTGCACACTACAATCAAGAGTAAAAAAGAATTAACAAAAAGATCCAATCATTGTTGAGAACAGTTCAAACCAGTCAATCTTTGTGCTGTTAAATACTACATTACTACGTCAGAGTGATTGGAATTGCTCTGATGAAGGGCTAACGCTTGAAACATCAGCTTTTTTACCCTTTACGGTGGCTAATTTACGTTTTCAACTCAGTTGTTAACACTAAATTACCTACTATACTCTCCCACTGATGCAGCACCACAGTTTCTTTAGAAACTTACCCCCTTTATTCATTACTACAGCTGAGTTACCCTTTATAAAAAAGCTATTGCCTACAAAAATTGTACTTTTTGTTATTGCCTTCTGCAACAGTATATATTTGCAAGCCGTATGATAAGAAACATATTCAAAAACACCAAGTAAAATTAATCTTTGAACCAATACTTAGAAGAGGCAAAATATATAAGTTGAGCCTACATGTACAGTACATGTACATGTACATGCCCTTGACTCTGTATGGTTGTTAGTTTTGGTAGGCATGCAATACACTACACTTTTCTACCATTAAATTTATTACTGTATTTACCCATGCAAGATGTTAGGAAAAAATGAGAAGAGATGGAGAATCACTGACCTGTAAAGCTTCAATGACAGAGCTTCATCTTTACAAGACAATAAACAATAGATTTTAGACCAAAATTAGGTTTTAACAATATCTACATTTCTACAGAGCCTCTTCTTTCGCTACTGATCAAGGAGGTCAGCTCTGTCTCAAAGAACTCATATAACTGGTTTTAACCCTTACTAAGGAATAAGAGAGGGCTACTTTGGCCAGTTACCATAGTGATATGAGTAACCAGGGAGAAAGGAACAGCTTTACCTGACAGGAGTCCAGAAGAAATAAATACAATGAGCGTGTGCTTGTTGTATCATCATCCTTTGATGATCTGTTGAAACAAAATAGGTTATGATGACCAAGTATATTCATTGAAACAGCCACTGAGGCCATGACTGTCTAGGAGAGAAAGAATCTTCCACAGGTTTTGGGAAACAAACACCACAAAATACATAGTGACAAATTTTGGTAGAAAGAAATGGAGCAAAATGTTCAAAGAGAATTTACCGTAGTTTCTTGGCTCTAAGGCACATGGTTTTTTCCAAGAAAATTCTTTCCTTGATTGGAAAGTTAATGCTGAAATTGAGGTGCATCTTATAGCCAAGTATTTTTGCACAAAAAAATCTTGATATCACAATTTTAGCAGAACTTTTACTGTAGTTAAAAAGACAAGAAAAGGACACTAACTGTTTAGAGAAAAAGGAGAAAAAGCAGAGCTTTTTGGTCTGAGGTGTAGCGAAGATTACATCGAATTCAAACTTTTATTCCTATGAATTAAAAATGAATACTGCTTTTAGAACACTTAAATCAACTTCTATAGAAAAGCAAACAAGTGGAAATTTGCACACATGCTCAAGAGCATGTGCTCGGTAACATGATATCCAACTCAGGTCTTTTGGTTCATAGTGTTGCAAGGATACACACGTTGCTATGATCGGCAGCCCACCAGAAAACAGGACATGTTGCTGGTTGCATCATTTTCTCACCATGAATTCTGAAATGCCATATTCATGGGCAATTTCACGATTGTTGTTGACTGCCTCAGCTTTGGCAGCAATTTTCAACTTGAAGTTGAGTCATATCAGTGACGGCGAGTGCTTAGCATATTTGCAATCGAACAAGAAGTTGAAGTTAAACTCTGACTGTTTAGGATGAGAATGTATCAGTTAGTTTTACAACTGAGTTTTAAATCAATTGGTTGATGTTTAACCCTTTAACTCCCATGGGTGACCAAGACAGAATTTCTTCTTAAAATATTTATACAGTAGCAACTAGATAAGTGATGAGATTAAAGGAAAAGATCAATTTGGGGATAATTACTTGATCCATGAATGAACATTGTAAGAATTGTATGGTTGATGGTAAGGAGAATTACAAATTTGATATGGGAGTTAAAGGGTTAATAGAATGAAATCAGGATCATTGAATATTCATAATCAGGTGTGAAATTTTAGCCTTGGTTTTTTTGTAGATCATTAAATGTGTGACTTTTTCACTTTTATTTACATTTTAACAAAAGAGTTTGCATGCCAGTTGTGAAGGAATAATTGTTCTCAGTTCCATTAAATCCTTTTGTTAACTCTCATCCTTTTGGTGCATCTTATAACCAAGTATTTTCATGTAATTTTCAGTCTGGGAACTTGGCTTGAGTAAGTTATTAAGTTTGAGGTACATCTTAGAACCAAGTTCGCCTTATAACTGAGAAACTATGGAAAAGTTATTGAAAGCAAAATGTTCAGAGAGAATTTATAATTAAAAGCTTCAAAAAGCCAGTGAAAATTACCCTGAAATTTATATTGTCACTTATTATCCACAATCCACAATATGAAATCTTTACAATACTAAAGCATGCAGTTGCATGTAATCCATACAGCATTTTAAAGGAATCCAGCTGTTCAGGTAATAACTTTTTAAAACAATTTGGTGATAATAAGCACAAGTAAATTTTTCAAAGACAACATAATTGCAAGAGTACATAAGGCAAGTGCAATTTGTACACGTGTAGCACTTATTCACAATTTCAACAGCATACTATTTATAATATGCACTTGTGTTACAACTTTACACTTGTGCTGTGTGAAAAATGCACTTGTTTTCAGCCTATCAGAAGTGTCTAATTTTTTTGTGTTTATTATCATGCATTTAATTGAACTTTATTTGACCACTCACAATGAAGTCTTTAAGAATAGAAAGACTTACAAACAAAGGGGATACTTACTTGATAGTCTCAATGAAATTGTTTTCTTCACAGTCTTCCAACACAATAAGAGCCATCCTCATGGAGGCACATACAGTAACTGTGAAGCTGATGCAATGCTTGATTCCTAATGTTAACAGTAAATCCTAATGCTCTCTAGCTTCTTGATGATGATTGTTGTTGAATCTGAACTTTTTGCTGAGGACACATACAGGCACGCTCCCTTTCCACTTTCCTTTTCCTGTAATTAAAGTTGG